CCTTTTTAAACAGCTTGAAACACATGAGAAAATGGGGGAGGGGAACCCTGCCTATAAAGAAAGGTGTTTTATTCTCTTAATGTTTAATTCTGTGCTTTTTCTCCTTCCAACAGCTGGGGTGAATATTTTGGTGACAAAGGGTACATTCGAATGTCCAGGAACAAAGGAAACCACTGTGGAATTGCCAGTTATGGTTCTTATCCACAAATATAGAGGGACGCTCTGCTTCAGAATGCACTCTGGAGATGTGGTCTGTTAAACTGCGAATCTTAGCCTTGCTGTAATCTAACTGCTGTGTTTGAGAACAATGTACGGGCTGTAGTGGCAAAATCCTCCCATCAGATCCATCTGACGGACCTGAGATAAGTAGCCAAAATGATGAATGATCGCGGTTGGTCTGGTCCAGAATTTGGGCACTTGTAGCTCACTCTCCCTATCCCGCAGGGGTGTTTTTAATTGATTAATGTCTCTACATTGCTTTGCGCATGTGAAGTGCTATTTCAGTGCTGAGTATTGTCACTGCCTCTGTCTCAAAACATATTGGCTGAAGGCCACGTTGCACGGATAAAGCTACTCCACGTGGTGGAGTTGCCGAAGCCACGTCAGAGGTGGAGAGGCGAAGTAGCTGGATCAGCACATCCCTAGCCACATGTATGGATTTTCCCCAGTACAGGTCACAAAGCAATCATTAGCAACCTAGGAGATCAAGCAAACTGTGGACATTCCTTGGAGGAGGGAACATGTTTCCCATGGCCACACAAAATTGGGTTGGTATCTTGCAATGCTGCTCCCATAAGTCTTATGTGAAGACATTAGCACACCAGCCGTCAGAAACGACCTGAGATCGCCTTGTGCCGTGGAGAAGCCCAGCCATGGAACCAAGTGCTTCTGCTGTTATAAAATGTGACCTACAGAGTGAAGTCAGCCTTTGCCACCCGCAGCGCTTGGACCAAGGACACGGTGCAGAGATGAAGGGCCTGATTCTCTCTGCCACTGCACAGCCATTTACCCCTGTTCAAAGTAGGTGTATAATGTTGCTGAATCAGAATAGCAGCAGTTTTCAGCCGAGGTATAAATGACTGCACGGGATGCACAGTAGCGGGGAGTCAGGCCCAAAGGCTGTAAATCTAGCTGCAGGTAGAGGGCTAGTGATTGAATGAGCAAGAAAGCAGGGAAAGGGTGAACCTGGAATCCACACCCCCAGCTGCAAGTTCCAGCACAGCACCGGGAAACACACATCTGCTGCCCTGTTCTACTCCACAGGCTGCGGGCCGGGGGCGCCCTGCTTCTGGATCTGACCTACTGTGCCCTACTTCGAGATATGATTTGCAGACACCTATTGACCGAATCCTTGCGGGATATGGTTTCAGTGTGACGTCACATATCTCCACAGCACCTGAAATGCATTCTCTTCTCTCTAATTCAGCAGTGAGGTTGCTATGATGCTCCAGATCTAATCTCATCTGTAAGCAATGCATGTAAAATAAATTACACATCCTCTTCTGAAAGGAAAAAAAATATATTCAATTGTCTGAGAAGTTTAGACTCAGTCTGTTTAGCAGGGCCAGGTGTGGGATACTTAGCGAGCGACAGAAATGCAAAGCCACAGCGATTACAGACGAAACAAACTCTCAGGCCCTGATGCTGCAAAATCTAATTCCCCACAAAGCCACAAAAAACCCCATCAATGGATGAATGTGAACAACTGAGCAACATCGCCTCATGGTGAAATTTCATGAGATTTTCAAGAACCACCAAAGCATTTCTTGCCCTGGGCTAAATTTTCAGTTGTACTTGGGTGGTTCCCTGAGGCTGTCTTGTGTCACTGCTTCCCCTCGTTTGCGGGGAGTGCCAGGTGAGTGACTGATGGATCTTGGGCAGCCCCTGTTGTTAGGCAGTGTCTGACTGTGTGCTGTTTGTTACCTGAACGTTTAGGATGAAATTCACCATGTGCAGAGGGCCAGCACAAGGTCTAGACGCCATTCTAGGGTGATCAGGTGCCCAGTTTTTGCCTGGAAAGTCCAGTTTTAAAAGGGACCAGATAGTGTCCAATCAGATTTACTGACTGGACATTCAACGTCTGGTTACTGCGGGCGAGGGAGGTGCTGGATCATCACCCACACCAACCTCTACTCAGCCGGGGCCGCCTCCTACCTTTGTTGAGTGGCTGCAGCTCCCAGCCCTGGTTCCACAGGCAAATCCCTCCTGACCCAGGTGGGGAGGGATGGAAGGAGAAAAGCAGTGAGCAACAGGGGGAGGAGGGAAGAGGAGTGGATGGGGCTGGGCCTCAGGGGAAGAGTCGGGGCAGAGGCGGGGCTTTTGGGGGAAATAGGCAGGGAAGGGGAGATTCTGGCATGCACACACACACGCACACACATATAGAGCCATCTGTACGATGGCCCCAGCCACATTATGGGCCTGGCTCCTGTTTGCACTATGGCCTATTTGCACTGGGTAGAGCAGTGTACAGGTGAGTCCCTCCTTACCAAGGCGGTGGGGGATGGAAGGGGAAAAGCAGCAAGCAACAGGGGGAGGGGGGAAGAGGAGTGGATGGGGCGGGGCCTCAGGGAATGGGCGGGGCAGGGGAGGTTCTGGTACTCCTGCGGGAGTGTCCGGTTTTTAAATACAGTAACTCCTCACTTAACATTGTAGTTCTGTTCCTGAAAAATGCGACTTTAAGCAAAACAATGTTAAGCAAATCCAATTTCCCCATAAGAATTAATGTAAATGGGGGGGGTTACGTTCCAGGGAAATTTTTTTCACCAGACAAAAGACTATATATATATATATATATACACACACACACAGTATAAATTTTAAATAAACAATTGAATACTGTACACAGTGATGATGATTGTGAAGCTTGGTTGAGGTGGTGAAGTCAGAGGGTGGGATATTTCCCAGGGAATGCCTTACTGCTAAATGATTAACTAGCTTTTGGCTGAGCCCTCAGGGGTTAACCCATTGTTGTTAATGTAGCCTCACACTCTACAAGGCAGCACGAATGGAGGGAGGGGAGACAGCGTGGCAGACAGAGACAGAGACACACACCCTGTGTGTCAGAGAGAGACGCACACTGACCATACCCTAAGTACACTGCCTTTTTAAGTAGATCAGCAAGTTGAGACAGCAGCTGCTCCCAGGAAGCTCCCTCCATCCTGAGCCCTGTTGTGTCCACCCCCCTCCTCTCATGGAGATGGGGTAAGTGGGGTGCAGGAGCAGGGGGGAGGGGGACACCCTGACATTAGCCCCCTTCTCTCCCGCCCCTGCACAGCAAGCAGGAGGCTCCTGGGAGCAACTCCGAGGCAGAGGGCAGGAGCAGCACATGGCAGTGGGGGGAGGGACAGCTGAACTGCCGGCAATTGATAGCCTGCTGGGCGGCTGCCGCACAGGCAACTTAGGGGAGCGGGGAGCGGATAGGGGGCTGCCGGCCCACCCTGGTTCCAAACCCCCACCAGCTAGCTCCAGCGGGCTGCTCTTACTGAAATCTGTGAACAAAGCAGGCGGCTGCCAAACGACTTTATAGGGGAGCATTGCACAACTTTAACCAAGCATGTTCCCTAATTGATCAGTAATGTAACAACGTTAACCGGAATGACTTTAAGTGAGGAGTTACTGTATTACCAAGTTGGCAACCCTACTCACATCCCACCTAAGCCCTCAAAAAAGACGGGGCGCTCCAGGTCCCACTACCCCAGCATGGGATCCCCTCCACTGCTCCATGTCACCAGTTCCCTCTCTCCTTTGACTTCCAGAGTGAAGGGGTGAAAGGGAGTGGTGGGGGAGGAAGGCTGGAAGGCAGGAAGGAAGCAGAGGAAATAAATGGATGATGGGGTAGATGGAATGGGGATGGGGTTGGAGCAAGAAGGGGGAGGCCTGGGAGAGCAGGGGCTGTGCTCACAGATTTTAAGCTTCATTTCCGTCAACCATTGGACCGTAGGGTGGGGAATTGCTATGCCCACCTGCTGAGAGCAGGAGTCCCCCGCGGAGAGATGCCACCCCCTGGAACAGGTGCCCCCGAGGTGGGTACAAGCAGTCACTAGCACTTTGTCATTGCAGCAGTGGGAAGGAACAGGTTAAACCAGTCCTGACCCCCAGACCCCCCCTAATTTGAGACAGGGTTAAGCCCTTCATTCATACCATAATGACAACGCATTGATAACAGCATTCACCACCCTGCATTCAGATTTAATAATTTTATTAAGATGTTAAAATAAAAAGAAAACGGTACAGAGTTTAAGCATAGAAGTTTCTGGTCATCAGGGAATAAGGTACAGATTTTCAAGGGGTGCGAAGTTCAGTTTAGGAACGGGTGGCGTAAGGAATAAATAATCTGCACCTAGAGGGCATTTCTGCTCAGCCCTGTGCACTCAGGAAAGTGCCCGGGGGCTCTGAAAATCCCAGTCAATGGTGGGTGCTCAGGCAGTTGAGGCTAAACCAAACACCGGCTTGGAGAGCGTGCTGGGTGCCCAAATGCCAGTGAAGCAGACACTGGACTGCAACCCAAGAGACCTCTGTTCTAGTCCCCGCACTAGCCCTGCCCTGCTGTGTGACCTTGGGCAAATTGCTTCCCTGATCTGTGCCTCAGTTTCCCCCTGCCCTTCGTCTGTCTTTATCTATTTAGCTTGCGAGCTCAGGGAGGCAGGCTCTGTCTTTCCCTCTGTGTTCATGCAGAACCGGTGGACCTGGGTCCTTATTTCAGCTGATATCTCTAGGTTTTACCATAATACTGATGGTAACTTAAACCCCAAAAGGGAGGTCCCAGCGACTGTTTGCACCTGTCTGAGCTTTTGAAAATGTTGACCCTACTAGTTTATTTTTTAACTCTCCCAATCATGTGCTGTAGGGTCTGAGAAGGGAAGGAAAAACATCTGATTTTAGTCTTCCGGGGCTGGGGACTGAAAATCAGCCTGCAGCTGTAGTGAACATCCCTATTTTGATACAGTCACAGTAAAAGTGAAAGCAGAGGTCCTGCCATTTCCTCATTCACAGTCCCATGTGACGAGCCTGGGAGAGCAAACCGAACTCCTTCTTCTAGGCATGCAGTCAGAGCAGGAAGGGTGTTAGGGTTCACTCAGGAGCTAACGTTGGGAGGAGAATTTGGGGGAATTCTTGCTGCCTGCTGATCAGTTCAGGATTCCTGCCTAGAAATCTCCACTGGGCGAACTCCCGTCAGGTATGTTTGGCTTTTTATTTTTCCCCTTGTACTTTAAATCTCCTCTTCGTCATGTTTGGAATAATGTGTTTGAGGAAGTAAAATCAAAAAATGATGTTTTGTATTTTGCTTGTAGAGAGTTTGCATCTGCAGACATCGGCGTGTATCAGTCTTGTCTTTCTATCCCAATATAAAAGTCTCTCTCTTCCAATAACCCCCTCTATCTATCTATTCAACACCCTCTCTATCTATCTATTCTCATACACCTGCTCTGTCTCTCTCTCTGTCTCTCTAGCTCCATAAAACTTTCCATCTTCCTATCTTGGCTGGAGTGTTCAAAGGAACCTAGGGGAGTTAGGTGAGAGTTAATGGGAAAATTAACTTGAAAATTGCTTGGGCTCCTTTGAAAATTCAAGCCCTCTTCACCCAAATCTCTCTGGGCCAGATCTCAGCTGGTGTAAATCAGCTTTGCTCCAGTGACCACAATGGAGCGACACCAGTTTACAACACCTAGGGATCAAACTCATTGACCTTAGTGAAGCTACAGCAATTCCCACCCCAGCTGGGAATGTCTCTGACTTTTGCTAGCTCTATCCCTCCCTCCCCGCTGTATCCCTTATACCAGGCTCTGATGCCCAGGTCCAGGTCCAAGATCCAGTTCAGGAGCTGTGGAAGTACCCGGGTGATATTATCCATTCACCTAGCTCTGTTTTCCTTTCAAGTCTGTTGTTGTCGTATGGGGTTCCAGGAAGCCCCTTCCCCTGCCCCCTCGCCCCCAAGAGGTACAAGTGTGAGAGCTGCTGCAGGGTCAGGGTTTGCTTCTTGACACTTTGCTCCTGGCAGAGAGAGTGGAGAAATCTCAGCAAGTCAGTGTTGGATCTTTTGCACCATCACTGAGTGGAGGAAATTGAGACACTTGACTTAACCATGCAGATATTATCTTTCACCAGCGTGCTCTTTTTTTTTTTTTTTTTTTTTTTCTAGCTGACCAGAATGAAGCTGTTGCTTTGTATCTTCCTGGCCTCTCTTGCTTCTGCTGCTACTGCACATCTACACTCAGACCCAACGCTGGACAACCACTGGGAGCTCTGGAAGAAAACCTATGGCAAGCAATACAGCCACAAGGTGGGGTCTGTGCAGCTGTGGGTTTGAAGTGGGAGAGGGAGATTTCCATCACCATCTCCCCTCCGGTCAGCAGGTATCCAGGACCTTGGCATGCCAGCCCTCTGGCAGCTCTCACTGAGATCGGTGCCTCCTGTTCCTCTTCTGGAGACTGTAAAGCTCTCTCTGCTTTCAGAAGTGCATTCAGCTTTAATGCCCTGTATGTACCCTCCACCTTGCCTAAACCATCCCAGGGGGTTAGCTGATTTCTTAAAGCGTGTTTTATTTGGGATAAAGAACCAGGTGACGTTTTTCACACAACTCTTTTTTTGTGTGTGTGGAAAAATGCAGACTTGGGTTGACAGAAACAACTGGGGAATTTGGCTCGATATTGGCAAATTGTTTTAATCAAATTTAAAAAAATAAGATGAAAAGGTGGGAAAAAATGGTTCATTTCAGAGTTTAATAAATGAACTGTTTTGTCTTTTCTTTCGGAAAGCCATTTCGTGTTGGAATTTCCCTCTGTTCTATTCACAATAACTAAATAAAAAGGTTTAAAAAGCTCCAAAATGAAGCAAACGTTTGACCCAAATCCAAAAATCTTCAAGTGATTTTTAAAACGTTGTTTGGTTTGGCTGCCAAACCAAAAAGTTAGTGATTTGTACAGCTGTAAGCTGTATTGTGAATGTTTGATTCTTGATATTGTTTTGCATCCTAACCGTATGTTCAGCTCCTTAATTACTTTGGCTTAGTTGAAGGCCCCAACTGTTTGGGGTCATTAGTGAATCCTACAGTACTTTCCTCCTAAATTACAGGTTATCATCACTGTCCTGGTGGCAATTACATTCTGCCTCCCTATAATTCCCCCTGATGATTTAACTGGATACAATGTGATTCTTCTCTTCTTGTCCTACCCTGTTGTGTAGTGTTGGTGTGTGCTGTTAAAAAGCTGCTGCACACCACTCCAGAACTGGCTGCATTTCGAGGGTGGGAAAGGACTCAATCTTGCCACGCTTAACTTGTTAAGACTCCCCTTGATTTCCTAGGAAGTTTTGCTTGAGTGAGTGTTGTAGGATCTAGGCAAGATTTTTGCAAAGCACTCAGGTTCCTGGGGGATCAAAAAGCGCTGTAGAACTATAACTCATTTATACTGCAGATGGTTTCCTCTGGGCTCTTGATAGTATTGTGGGGGCTGTGCTTTGGTTCCAGAAAGAGGAAGGGGAACGGCGCGTGACCTGGGAAAAGAACCTCAAGCTCGTTATGCTGCATAACCTTGAGCACTCACTGGGGCTGCATTCCTATGAGCTGGGCATGAACCACCTGGCAGACATGGTAAGTTTAAAAAAAATATCACTTCAGACCAAATGACCGGGCATCTGGGAATTATCTGTATTTCCCTGGGAGTGCTGTGGACAGAGAATGTAACTGAATCAGGGGCAGAATAAGCTCCAGCCAATCCTGTGTCAGTATGAGCAGTGCAGAGGTAGGTCCACAAATCACAGCACCCTGTGCGTCCTCCAGCAGGAAACCTGCCCCCATCACCGCTCCCGAGAGCTGTGCAGATCTTTGTTCTACTTGCTTGGGTCAGGGGTGTGTGTGGGAAATCTGCCATCAGGGGGGTAGTCCTGTTTTTTAAGTGCAGGGACTGCACCCCCTGCTAGCCCGCTGCTGGTGTGATCCCTCCCCTCCCCCCCAGAATGTTTCTGTATCAAATTTCAGAGTAACAGCCATGTTAGGTTTGGATTTGTGCTGGAAATGGCCCACCTTGATTATCATGCACATTGTAGGGAGAGTGGTCACTTTGGATGGGCTATTACCAGCAGGAGAGTGAGTTTGTGTGTGTGGTTTTTGGAGGGGGGTGAGGGAGTGAGAGAACCTGGATTTGTGCAGGAAATGGCCCACCTTGATTATCATACACATTGTGAAGAGAAAAGGAGTACTTGTGGCACCTTAGAGACTAACCAATTTATTTGAGCATGAGCTTTCGTGAGCTACAGCTCACTTCATCAGATGTATACCGTGGAAACTGCAGCAGACTTTATATACACACAGAGAATATGAAACAATACCTCCTCCCACCCCACTGTCCTGCTGGTAATAGCTTATCTAAAGTGATCAACAGGTGGGCCATTTCCAGCACAAAGCCAGGTTTTCTCACCCTCCACCCCCCCACACAAATTCACTCTCCTGCTGGTGCTAGCCCATCCAAAGTGACAACTCTTTACATAATCAAGTCGGGCTATTTCCTGCATAGATCCAGGTTTTCTCACATCCCCCCCACCCCCATACACACACAAAATTGTGTGTGTATGGGGGTGGGGGGGATGTGAGAAAACCTGGATCTATGCAGGAAATAGCCCGACTTGATTATGTAAAGAGTTGTCACTTTGGAGGGGCCCGCAGGGGGGGGATTTGGGGGGGGGGGGGGGGGGGGGGGGGGGGGCGGGGGGGGGGGGGGGGGGGTATTCTCTGTGTGGAGGGCTGCAGTTATCTGATGAAGAGCACCAGCAGGTGTTTCTGAAATGTCATTGTGAAGAGAGTTGATTTGGTGGGTAAAGAGGAGAATGAGTTTGGGGGGGGTGGAGGGTGAGAAAACCTGGCTTTGTGCTGGAAATGGCCCACCTGTTGATCACTTTAGATAAGCTATTACCAGCAGGACAGTGGGGTGGGAGGAGGTATTGTTTCATGGTCTCTGTGTGTATATAATGTCTTCTGCAGTTTCCACGGTATGCATCCGATGAAGTGAGCTGTAGCTCACGAAAGCTCATGCTCAAATAAATTGGTTAGTCTCTAAGGTGCCACAAGTACTCCTTTTCTTTTTCTGTATCAAATGGCATCCTCCAAGCTGTGTGAGTCTGACCTTGCACATACAGTGCATGTGAGGTCAAAAGTTTGGGAATCCCATTCCCGCAGGTTCCTGCTTCTCTACCTTACTGTGTCTGCCACCCTCCCTTACCCCCATGAGGAATGTCACGTGTGGAATAACACACAACCTGTCTGCTAGGCCATTGCGGGTTAAAGAAGTTGCTCCTTTAACTGAAATTGCAGGGGCTTGTGCTTCAGATCCCATTACTGCCACCGCCAAGCATTCAGAACTCAGGAGTCAGGCCCCTAAAATCATGGGGGGGCTTAAAAATCCTGGCATTAAAAAAAAAGTCTAAGTCTGGGGGTTCTTATTATTTGCCTCTGGGTTTTGCGCTTTTAAGGGTTATGTTTTCCTGCAGGTCTCCACAGCTACACGAGAGATGGAAACTTAAAAAAAAAAAAGAAAAAAAAGGCTGAAATTCTTGTGCAATCTCACAACTCCTTGGGGATGTCAGTCTGACGGGGTGTGTGTGTTCTTTTAACTAGACCAGCGAGGAAGTGGCTGCTTTGTTAACTGGAGTGAAAATTCCCCACCGACCTGACCGGAATTCCACCTACAGGCCGCGCCCTGGCAGCCAAGTGCCGGACTCCATGGACTGGAGGGACAAAGGATGTGTTACTGATGTGAAGAATCAGGTGGGAGGCTCAATCTGTTCCCTTTGCTGACATGGGTGCCCATCACAGCAGTGGCTCAGTGCATCTCTCTGGCTTTTTCAGGGGCCCTGTGGCGCCTGCTGGGCTTTCAGTGCTGTCGGTGCCCTAGAAGCCCAGGTGAAACTGAAAACTGGAAACCTGGTGTCTCTCAGCGCACAGAACCTAGTTGACTGTTCCACTATGTATTGGAACCACGGCTGCAGCGGTGGATATATGACCTACGCCTTCCAGTACATCATTGATAATGACGGCATTGATTCGGACGCTTCCTATCCGTACACAGCTCAGGTTGGTATCCAGGTTTGAGACAGACACAGAGAGGGTCTGTCTACACTGCACGCAAAGCTCGGGTTCTGATTAAGGTGCCCCTTCCATCCACATACAAATCAGCCTGACTCAGGACAGCAAGCGCTCAGGCCCAAGGTCCTTGGACTCTGCTAGAGGGGTAGGTCAGAATCCGAGTCCTGCTGACTTGCGTCCAAGCCTTGTCATTTTGCAGAGTGGGTGCAGCAAAAGCTGCAGAGCTGAGTCAGAAGGTCTGTGCAGGGCAGTATGGACACATTAGCACAGCTGTGAGACCTGGGCCCAGCAATTGTAAACCCAGGTTTACAGTGCAGTGTGGATACTGAAGAGTGGGCTTGGAAACACTGAGTCCGCAAGCCCGGATCCCAGAGACCCAGGTTTAAGAATGCCATGTAGACATCCCCCAAAAACACAGAGACTCCCTAGTCCTTTTCGTAGTCTGTTGCTGGCATCTCTTCTGGCGAGTGTGTAGCATTCTGTTCTTTGTGGCCTGTTTTGCTGGGTCTTCCTGTGCTGTTTGTGTCAGCACAAAGAACAAGAGAAGAGGTCTGCAGGCAGTCGTTAGAGCAGTAAAACTTGGCATCAGTATTCCTGACGTCTACTCCCAATGTTGGGTGGAGAGTGGTGCCTAATGGCTAGAGCAGAGGGACTTGTGCTCAGGTCACTTGGGATGTAATCTTAGCTCTGTTTGTTCCTCTGACTTCTCTGTGAAACCCAGCTAATCCCACTTCCCCCTGTCCCAGAGGCATGGAGGCTAATAAATCCATCTGTGAAATGCGTGCTGCAAATGTTCACTGCTGTCACTGAAAGCTGAATCCTCATATTTCTCCTTACCTGAGTGATGGGAAAGGAGAGAGATGAACACTGAGTGAATTAAAATTGGCTGAAAATGCTCTTTTCAGGGCACCAAAACTATTTGTGAATTTGACCTAAATGTGGCAAATATTTTTGGCCCAAAACCTCCCCTGATTTTTCCCCCCCGGAAATGTCAAAAGGAACCATTTTGACAGCTCATTCGGAAATGAAATGACATTTGAAATGTTTCATTTGAACCAAATGAAATTTTTTGATTTTTTGGTTGCAGCAAAAAACCCTGAAAAAATGCAATTTTGGTTTGAAACAAACCAGTGGGGTTTTTTACGTTTTTGTTTTGTTTTTTTGTTGTTGTTGTTGTTGTTGTTTCCGGGTAAGTCACTGAACTGAAAAATGAATTAGTCCCTCAGCTCTGATCTCGATGCCCAGAGGCAGAAGGAATGTTCCAGAGGGATTCAGACAACAGAGGGGAATAGAAGGGAGATAAACAAATGTTGCGAGTGGGTCAGATGTTCATGCCAGAGGCTGAAATGTCCGTTTCATCTGCTCTTTGCCACTGCCAGAACGGAACGTGTCACTATAACCCTGCCACGCGAGCCGCCACCTGCTCCAAGTTCGTTGAGCTCCCGTATGCCGATGAAGCAGCCCTGAAGGATGCCGTAGCCAATATCGGACCTGTGTCTGTCGCCATAGATGCGAAACAGCCTTCGTTTTTCCTGTACAGATCAGGTAAGTTCTCTAAGCTAGAACACCTCGCGCCCGGTGCTGTACATAGTTTGAAAGACTGATGCCTTTGCTTTCTGTGGACTGTCTCTTTAAATGTAAAGCGGAATGTGCAGGAAGTTGCTATTTGTTCTGCAGCTTGTTACTGAGGAGACGCGCACATTGTGCTCTTCCCATAGAGACCTGGCTTTTGTTTTCTTGTTATTTCCTGGAATCTTTTGACCCCTCTATAAGTTACAGTCATTATCAAACAAAGGCCACAGGCAGCTGAATGCATGTTTTGCTGTTTGTGAGTGACACCATCCTGTTACCCCTTGGTTCATAGGAGCTGACTTTTATTTTTCCCCAGGGGTGCTCCACCCCCGCTCCGCCCTGAGGCCCCACCCCCACTCCACCTCTTCCCCTGAGGCCCCGCCCTTGCTCCACCTCTTCCCGCTCCAACCTCTACCCCAAAGCCCCCTCCCCACTCACTGCTCTCTGCCTTCCCCAAGTGCCTCCCCTAGCTGCCCAACAGCTGATCTGCGGTGCCTCCAAACAGCTGATCAGCGGTGCCTTTGGTGGTGCCGCCCATCATCTGTGGCTGGTGGGTGCTGAGCACCCACTATTTTTCCCCCATGGGTGCTCCAGCTCCTCTAGCAGCTGGCAAGAGGATAAAAGCCTACTACTGCTAGAAGCTAATGTCTTTTGTCTTACACCTAGGATATATCTCTACTGCATCCCGGTGGTGGTGGCGTGTTGGGTAGATGTAGCTACACATGGCTGTTAAAGGCACTGCGCTGTGTAGCTACCCACAGCACTGGAAGGTTCTGGCGCTGGAGGCAGTGGGAGCTGTCCGAGTTTTTCCCCACTACCTCCCGCTGCTGGAGTCTTTCCCTGTGGCAGAAAAAGGCCCCAGCAGCGGGGAGGTAGCGACGTATGACATTGCTAAAATGAGCAGTGCAGATGGGGGAGGCCCTGCTTGGGCGTGTAGAGAGCCGTGTAGGGCACATACCCTAAGGGTTCAGGTATGTCTTTACTCCCCTAAGCCGTCTACCCTGCTGTTTATGCGGGGGGGGTGTGTGTAGTGTATACAGTCTACACGCTGCAATAAGGAGTGTGCAGTGTGGACATACTCTTACACTGGAAGCTCTTTGGGGCAGGGACGATCCTTTTGTTCTGCGTTTGTACAGCACCGTGGGGCCCTGGTCTATGTCTGGGGCTGGCAGGTGCTCCTGTGACACAGATTAATAATAACAACAAATGACCGGAAATGCTCCTTTAGCTCGAAAGGTGCTTCAAGGGTTAACGACCCCGGGTTCAATTCCTGCTGGTGTCTTACAGGGTGTCATTAAAATAGCACCCCAGGGTGGGCCCTTCACTCATGTTAATGTAATGCCAATGTGCCGGGGTGAGCAGCGGGGAAGGAACGTGGGACTTCTGAATCTTAACACATGAGCCTTTCCTGCTTGATCTGTAAGACCCAACCTCTTCTAACCAAGGCTGTGGGAGGCTCCTCAACCTTTCTGTGGCCCAGCCACCACTAGAGGGGGACAGAATGCCCCACAGAGTGGGCAAGTCTTACATTAATCTGTGCTTTTTTTTATTAGTTTTCACTGGGTTGTATTCCAGGCATTGTCAGATATTTTGGCTGCAAATTTGTGCTGCTTCAAACTCAGCCCAGGGGTTTACGAGAGCTGAGTTCTATTCCCGGGCAAGTCATTGCCTGCTCTGTGCCTCAGTTTCCCCATCTGCACAATGGAGATAATAAGACTGACCTGCTTTGTGATCTACTGATGAAAAGAGTGAGAGATTGTTATTATTACCCCCCCTCTACAGGGGACCAGGCTAGAGGCATGTTGGTACCATGTGGGTTGCTCACAACAACTTTACTGAGCAGAGAAGTCACTACTGGCTTTTTTTCCTCCCATGTGGTTGCATATTCTTTCCTTCCAGGAGTCTACGATGATCCACGCTGCACTGATCATGTGAATCATGGGGTTCTAGTTATTGGCTATGGCACCCTGGATGGGAAGGACTTTTGGCTTGTGAAAAACAGGTAAAAGAAAATCCATCACTGAGCCGTATTTATCTATAGAATAACGTGCTCCTGGGATATGCGTGGGGTATAAGTGAGCTGTGTAGAGCTGTGCATGTATGTGTCTGTACTGATGTGAATTGGATGCCCTTTTTAAACAGTTTGAAACACATGAGAAAATGGGGGAGGGGAACCCTGCCTATAAAGAAAGGTGTTTTATTCTCTTAATGTTTAATTCTGTGCTTTTTCTCCTTCCAACAGCTGGGGTGAATATTTCGGTAACAAAGGGTACATTCGAATGTCCAGGAACAAAGGAAACCACTGTGGGATTGCCAGTTATGGCTCTTATCCACAAATATAGAGGGACGCTCTGCTTCAGAATGCACTCTGGAGATGTGGTCTGTTAAACTGCGAATCTTAGCCTTGCTGTAATCTAACTGCTGTGTTTGAGAACAATGTACGGGCTGTAGTGGCAAAATCCTCCCATCAGATCCATCTGACGGACCTGAGATAAGTAGCCAAAATGATGAATGATCGCGGTTGGTCTGGTCCAGAATTTGGGCACTTGTAGCTCACTCTCCCTATCCCGCAGGGGTGTTTTTAATTGATTAATGTCTCTACATTGCTTTGCGCATGTGAAGTGCTATTTCAGTGCTGAGTATTGTCACTGCCTCTGTCTCAAAACGTATTGGCTGAAGGCCACGTCGCACAGATAAAGCTACTCCACGTGGTGGAGTTGCCGAAGCCACGTCAGAGGTGGAGAGGCGAAGTAGCTGGATCAGCACATCCCTAGCCACATGTATGGATTTTCCCCAGTACAGGTCACAAAGCAATCATTAGCAACCTAGGAGATCAAGCAAACTGTGGACATTCCTTGGAGGAGGGAACATGTTTCCCATGGCCACACAAAATTGGGTTGGTATCTTGCAATGCTGCTCCCATAAGTCTTATGTGAAGACATTAGCACACCAGCCGTCAGAAATGACCTGAGATCGCCTTGTGCCGTGGAGAAGCCCAGCCATGGAACCAAGTGCTTCTGTTGTTATAAAATGTGACCTACAGAGTGAAGTCAGCCTTTGCCACCCGCAGCGCTTGGACCAAGGACACGGTGCAGAGATGAAGGGCTTGATTCTCTCTGCCACTGCACAGCCATTTACCCCTGTGCAAAGTAGGTGTATAATGTTGCTGAATCAGAATAGCAGCAGTTTTCAGCCGAGGTATAAATGACTGCACGGGATGCACAGTAGCGGGGAGTCAGGCCCAAAGGCTGTAAATCTAGCTGCAGGTAGAGGGCTAGTGATTGAATGAGCAAGAAAGCAGGGAAAGGGTGAACCTGGAATCCACACCCCCAGCTGCAAGTTCCAGCACAGCACCGGGAAACACACATCTGCTGCCCTGTTCTACTCCACAGGCTGCGGGCCGGGGGCGCCCTGCTTCTGGATCTGACCTACTGTGCCCTATTTCGAGATATGATTTGCAGACACCTATTGACCGAATCCTTGCGGGATACAGTTTCAGAGTGACGTCACACATCTCCACAGCACCTGAAATGCATTCTCTTCTCTCCAATTCAGCAGTGAGGTTGCTATGATGATCCAGATGTAATCTCATCTGTAAGCAATGCATGTAAAATAAATTACACATCCTCTTCTGAAAGGAAAAAAAAATATCCAATTGTCTGAGAAGTTTAGGCTCAGTCTGTTCAGCGGGGCCAGGTATGGGATACTTAGCAAGTGACAGAAATGCAAAACCACACAGATTACAGATGAAACAAACTCTCAGGCCCTGATGCTGCAAAATCTGATTCATGAGGGTGGAGCCCTGAATCTCTGCAAAGCCCCAAGATGGCTCCATATATGCTCATGGGTCCACTTGAATTAATCAGGTTAGAAGGTCAGGGCTTGAGTTTAATCAAAGGGAAGCTGGCAAAATTGTGGGATCCATTTATGTGTTGCAGGGCCAGGTGGAAAAATGGTCACCAGTGGGACAGGAGTGAGAAATGACATCTTTGTGAAAATGTAACCATTTGGGGAGTTGTCCCCAATTATTTCCTCATTTTTGTGGCTTGTTTTAGCAAAATATAATCTGTCAGTTGCAAAAAAAAACCGAAAACAAAAAAAACCACCCCTGACAAACCCACAAAAAAACTCACCAATGGATGAATGTGAACAACTGAGCAACATTGCCTCATGGTGAAATTTCATGAGATTTGCAACAACCACCAAAGCATTTCTTGTCCTGGGCTAAATTTTCAGTTGTACTTGAGTGGTTCCATGAGGCTGTTTTGTGTCACTGCTTCCCCACGTTTGGGGGGAGCACCAGGTGAGTGACTGATGGATCTTAGGCAGCCCCTGTTGCTAGGCAATATCTGACTGTACTGTATGTTACCTGAACTTTTAGGGTGAAATTCACCCTGTGTAGAGGGCCAGCACAAGGTCAAGACACCACTCTAGGGTGATTAGGTGCCCAGTTTTCGACCGGAAAGTCCGGTTTTAAAGGGGACCAGATAGTGTCCGGTCAGATCTATTGACCGGACACTCAAAGTCTGGTTACTGCGGGTGAGGGAGGTGGAGAGGCGCCGGGTCATCATCTGCACCAGCCTCTACTCAGCTGGGGCCGCCTCCTACCTTTGTTGGGTGGCTGCAGCTCCCAGCCCCGGCTCCGCAGGCGAGTCCCTCCTGACCTGGGTGGAGGAGAGTGTAAGGGGAAAAGCAGCGAGTGACTACGGGGGAAGGAGAGAAGAGGAGTGGATGGGGCGGGGCCTCAGGGGAATGGGCGGGGCAGGGGAGGCTCTGGCACTCCTGCTGGAGTGTCTGTTTTTTAAATATTACCAAGTTGGCAACCCTACTCACATCCCAACTAAGCCCTCAAAAAAGATGGGGCGCCCCAGCTCCCACTACCCCAGCATGGGATCCCCTCCACTGCTCCATCTCACCATTTCCCTCTCTTCTTTGCCTTGCAGAGCGAAGGGATGAAAGGGAGTGGTGGAGAGGAGGGTAGGAAGGAAGCAGAGGAAATAAATGGATGATGGGGTAGATGGAATGGGGGTGGGGGTCGAGCAAGAAGGGGGAGGCCTGGGAGAGCAGGGTCTGTGCTCATAGATTTTAAGCTTCAGTTCCATCAACCATTGAACGGTGAGGTGGGGTGTGGAATTGCTATGATGCCCCTCTGGCCGAGGTGCAGAAGGGGCCCTCAGTGCTGCCATCTCATGGTTTTGCTGGAAGATCACTGGGGATCTCTCTCTCTGTCTCACTTGCACACATACACATGCAGAGCTCTGCAGGGTGGACCCAGTCACAATACGGGCCTGGCTCCTGTTTGTATTATGGCCTCTTTGCACTGGATAGAGCAGTGAGGATCAGTCTGTTACTTGCGGGGGAGGATCAAGCCCCAGATGGATGCCAGCCCAGCTGACAACTGAGCTGGGAAGTGAGGGGGCAGGCCCACAGTCCAGTATATGGCTCTAATATGGACAGCCCCTGGCCCTTTTAGTGGGTGCTGTGGCCACAGCATGGGGAGAATTGGGAGGAGACCAGGACAGGGGGCTTGAGAGGGGTAATCCAGACTAGCTATGGCTGCACCAGCGTCCTTTCTGATCTGAGGGGCAAAGGGAGGATTCTATAACTGTTCAGTCATTTGCACCAGTGCAAAGTGGGTGAAAAACTCTTCAGGAGCAATGTTCTGGTAGCACTTTCTGCCCACTTTGAGGTGTTGTAAGTGGCCACACAAAGGGCATGGCAATGGGGAATCAGGCCTACCACAGATATTTTATTTTACTTCTTTCATTGCTGGTCTCTGACACCTCCAAAGGCAACTGTCTAGAGCCCCAGGAACCCTGGAATTTCATGTAAAAATCAGAAGATAATTAACAATATTTTATTTTTCTTAAAACTAATTCTAGGTTCTTTCTCCTTCCAAAGCCTGGGGTGCATATTTCAGTGACCAAGAGTGTATATGCAGAATGAGAACAAGAGAACCACTGCAGCATTGCCAGCCACAAATATAGATCTCTGTACTCCAGAATGGTCTGTTGAGAGCTGGAAATGTGGCCTGTTAAAATACCAACAGCTATGCAAGCCTTTAAATAGTTTGCGAGCCCTCGAGAAGCACTTACTGGTCTATTTAAAGGGCTTATACCCTAGCCCTACACACGATGCTAACCTTAGGCACCTTTTAATCTAATTGCTTTGTGTAAGAACGGTGTAGAGTCTCTGAGGGGAAAATCCCCACAACTGATCTATCTTGTGGATCTGAGACAAGCCTCAGAAATTAGAACTTATTGCAGCAGGCCTCACCAAGGAGGAGGGTATTTTTAGTTCGCTATCCACAAGCCTCCCCAGGATGTTGTGAGCCTTAATCGCTTTCTGTCTACACTGCTTTGATCATGGTGCTCATTGGCATTGTTGCTGTCTCAAATTGGGTTGGAACAAAGGCTGTGTCAGGTGTGAAACATAGGTGCTGACTTTTATTTTTCACACACGTTCTGCCCCAAGGCCCTACCCCTTTCCGGCCCGGCCTTGAGGCCCCACCCTTGCTCCGCCTCTTCCCGCCCCCCAGCTCCAACTCCTCCTCAAGGCCCCTGCCTTCTCCCTGCCCTCTGCCCTCCCCCAAGCGCCTCCCCCAGTCGCCAAACAGCCGCTTGGTGGCACCCTGGAACAGCTCATTGGGAGTGTTGCCAAACAGCTGTGGTTGGTGGGTGCTGAGCACCCACAATTTTTTGTCTACAGGTGCTTGAGCCCCGAAGCACCTACAGAGTCAGTGCCTATGATGGGAAAAATACCTCACTCCCTTGGTGCAGCTACATGGCAGCAAGGGCCACGTCGATGGATCAACATGTGTCTGCCCTGTCCATGTGTGTAGATTTTCTTTTTTTTAACCCAAAGGCTGCAAAGCAAACACTAGCAACCTGGGCTATCCAGTGAATTGTGCACCCTCCACATGCATTCAGCAAAAGCAGGCGGAAGGAGAATGGAGAGAGAGAAGCAGAGAAAATCAGATGAAAGACGCTTCCAAGCAGCCTGGATGAAAATTGCCTTTTCCAGTGCCGTGATCCCCAGACACAACTGTATCGCTGCACTACAAGAAACTTTTTTCCTTTATCTAAGGCTGAGGACAACAGGAGTGCAGAGCACGTGCTGGGCGTACAGAGTCTGAACGTAGCGAGGGTAACACAGGTGCGCTATCAAGCCAGGAATCCAGCTGGCGAAATTCTCAATGCAGAAGTTTCCTTTTCATTTCTTCAGTCCTTTACCGTAAGAACATGGGTTATTATTTCTCTGAACTTCCCAGCTTGCTCAGTCATTGTTTTGTGGTGAATAAGCAGGCACAAAAATGCAGGAAGCTGATATGTGACACTTTAGAGGCTGCAGCAGGCAAATATATTCATCCTCGCAAGCATTTCATTGCTATGCAATCTGTGTTCCGAGGTTTCAGAGTAGCAGCCATCTTAGTCTGTATCCGCAAAAAGAAAAGGAGGACTTGTGGCACCTTAGAGACTAACAAATTTATTTGAGCATAAGCTTTCGTGGGCTACAGCTCACTTCATCGGATGCATTCAGTGGAAAATACAGTGCGGAGATTTATATACACAGAGAACATGAAACAATGGGTGTTACCATACACACTGTAACGAGAGTGATCAGGTAAGGTGAGCTATTATCAGCAGGAGCGGGGACAGGGGGGAAACCTTTTGCAGCCACACTATCAGAGGCTCATTCACCTGCATATCTACCAATGTGATATGTGCCAGCAATGCCCCTCTGCCATGTACATTGGCCAAACTGGACAGTCTCTACATAAAAGAATAAATGGACACAAATCGGACGTCAAGAATTATGACATTCAAAAACCAGTCGGAGATCACTTCAATCTCTCTGGTCACTCGATTACAGACCTAAAAGTGGCAATTCTTCAACAAAAAAACTTCAAAAACAGACTCCAATGAGAGACTGCTGAATTGGAATTAATTTGCAAACTGGATACAATTAATTTAGGCTTGAATAAAGACTGGGAGTGGATGGGTCATTACACAAAGTAAAACTGTTTCCCCATGTTTATTCCCCCTCACCACCACCACCACTGTTCCTCAGACGTTCTTGTCAACTGCTGGAAATGGCCCACCTTGATTATCACTACCAAAGGTCCGTCCCTCTCCTGCCCGCCCCGCTCTCCTGCTGATAATGAAGCTCACCTTACCTGATCACTCTTGTTACAGTGTGTATGGTAACACCCATTGTTTCATGTTCTCTGTGTATATAAATCTCCTCACTGTATTTTCCACTGAATGCATCTGATGAAGTGAGCTGTAGCTCATGAAAGCTTATGCTCAAATAAATTTGTTAGTCTCTAAGGTGCCAAGTCCTCCTTTTCTTTTTGTGTTCCGAGGGTTATTCATAATAGGAGCTATGCTGATTTATAGCAACTGAAGATCTGGCCCTATTAGCCTTTGCACTGCTATAGAACCTTTCATCTCAGGGTACATCTACACAGCCAAAAAAAAACCAAACCAAAACCAAACAAACCCACGGCGGCAAGTCTCAGAGCTCAGGTCATCTGATTAAAAATAGTGGAGTAGACATTTGGGCTCAGGCGCTGAGCCGTGGGTCTTTTTTATGCCTTTGAAATAATTATAATGGCTTTAATTCCAGTGAGAAAAAGGCCTGCCTGTAC